AATTGGCGCCACGTAGCGAAAAGAAGAAACGACTGGCGCGCTGTTGTTAACTCGGCTATAATCGCGTAAGCGGTGACTACGCCAATCAAGAAGAAGAAATAATTTGTTTTAGCACTTCACCCACAAACAAAGTCTAAATAAATATCCAAAATAAAAGAAGACAACAAGAAATATCGTTAACCGTTCGGCTGAACCGAAGCTATAATACGCTTCACAAATACAAAAGATTACATACCAGAACTTGAAATCTTTCTAAGGAGTTTAATATTAGACAATAAACCGCGTCAAATTTCATGGCGATAACTTGTCAAACAAAAAAGTTTCCATACAAGGACATGATTTTGTTGAGAAGAGATATGTGCAAAATTGCATACCGATATCTCAAAAACTGAGCGATTAGTTCGCGTATATGCAGACAGAGAGACAGACAGACGCTTACAACGACCTAGCACGCCATGCTGATCATTTGCATAAATATTTACAGGGTCTCCGGCGCTTTCTTCTTAATGTTACAAACTTCATGGAAAACTTAATATCCCCCATTCAGTGTATATACAAGTACATATATTTCATTATTTTTTACAATATGTTTGAAATAAATATTTTTAATATCCTTTAATTATTGGTTACTTGTAAACTGTTTGTAGTAGCGGCCTGCGTCGCTGCTCGAGCGGTTTATAAGCATGTTGATATACGCTGGCCAAGCGCCAATGCTCTGGGTAGCCGCCCTCTCCGGCGCCACCGCCAAAACAACGAAACGGTGGCACCAACGTATCAATATCGTAATTCCGTTTTGCATAGGGATCACGTTGACGCGGCACCACCAGCACACGACTGGCATTATGTGATTCCAAACTGCAGCCGCTGTCCGTGCTAATAAAGTGCCCGGCTGCATTGTATTTGGGCACACCAACACGAAATGGTGCTTTACAGATGGCACGCGGCGGCGCTGCGTGGTAACAGCGCGGTGGTTCGGGTGCAACCTTGTGGCATAGTCTTGAACGCGCGCGGCTTAGGAAACCTGGCGCACCGATATTTTGTTTCGAACGTCTACAGCCACGTTCGGGTACAAGAGCCTCACATGAAGCTGCTATACTGCCACCGCTGCCGCCGAGATATTTTTGACGCAATGCACGGTATCCCTCAGCCATGATGTTAGGTGAAGATTGATAATGCTTGCTCAACCGATTTGAAGGCATCGCACAATCACGAGTTACACTATGCACACGTGGCGGTGGCGCGCGTACCATACAGTCTTCGGTGCTGCAGGGACAGTCCGTGTCGCGTTCAATTGCGCGACCGCCAAAATCTGATTTGCGGCGCATTATATCCTTATCGAAAAAGCCCGTTTCGCCGAGCGTACTATTGAATACACCGGCCGAGCGTCCTAAATCTGTGGCGGGCTCATCGCGCGGTGTTTTTACGTAATTGAACACAGCAGGACCGGCGGTATCGTCCGTACCGTCAATATGTGGTGGCCGACGCGGTTCATCCGCTGGATTGCTGGGTCTATAATCCCAACCAATGGCCAAATCCATAGCTGTCATTGGTTTATCCGGCTGCGCTGAGGAAATCGCACGTGATAAGTCACCAGCAAAAGCTTTGGGCACGACGCCACACGTGCGTGGTCGAAATACCTTCAGTTTCGTACAATGTGTGGGGCCAGCATTATGCGTTCTTATGCCAACGCCCGTGGCAAACGGAGCAATATCCAGCGCTAAGCCGGGATGCTCACCAGTAATTTGGCGCTTGCGAAATGCCATGTCCACCACACAATCCGGCAACGGCTGATGGTCCAAATTGTCATGATGCATGCGCTTAGCTAATTCGAAATTAGCGTAGGGCGGAATGATTGGCGATGGTGAACGCTCGTTGGGTTTCGCTGTAATTGATTTAAGTGGCATTGTTTGCTCAAGATTTTGTAGCGCTGGTGAATCGGGATTTTGATAACCGAATTTTTGTTTAAAGTATTCCAAACTTGGTCCAACTGAATCTGTCAGACCAGCTGTTTGCGGCAATAACGATGTTTCCGTCTGCACTTGTGGCATTGGATCAGTTTGCGGTTCCGTCGGTGCAGTGAGTACCAACTGGGAACTATGATGAGCAGTGTTCGCGGTTGGCGAAGAGACGCGCGTCAGCGGTAGTATCACGGGACGGGTGAGGATAACGTCCGGTTTATCCGATTGGCAAAGGTGATCGCCAAGTAAGAGCTTATTCAGTGGCAGTTCCGGTTCTATGTTATTGTCGCGTTCGTACTTTTGTTGCAGTAACTGGTCACGTGAGGGGTGTTGATGCTCGTAGGGTGTAAAATCACCTGGCACGTATTCTAAATCGGAACGCTTGTAAGAGAAAAAGACAAGTCAAGGATCTAACTTATTAATTTTCGGTAGATATTATTATTCTTGTGGATGACAAAATAAAATATGCAAAAAAGATATGAGATAATAACGAAAGTATTTTAGCAAGCTGGTGGTATTTGTATAGGTTCACAAAGCTCTTCAGGTTTCTTCTCATTACCTTTCTTTTTCTTTAGTTTCTTTGATTCAACCGAAAAAGGATGATAAACAAGATGTGTTAAACAAAAACTTGTTTAAAGAATGAACAAAAGTTTGCAAAACGAGGAACCTATACTCACTGTTTTATCTTGACCCTTAGCGCACTTTCCAATGCCTTTCTCACCTGGACTGAAAATATGTCTGACGGTTTCGCATTTATCTTCGCATTTCGGTGGCTCATCTTTTTTCCCGCAAACAGTCTTTTTGCGTGGGAAATTGCGCCATTTATATTTTCTGATCAGACACTCGTTGTATTCGTCGGCAAATTTACGAGTTATTTTACGCGGTAGCTCGTAAGTGCTGCGAAAGTAGCCCCAAGGATTCTTATCCGAACTAAAAATAATTTGTGAAAGTTGTTACCAAAAAGTTTTCGAATTAAAGGCTTACAAAGCAGATCCTAAGAGGTTTTCTTAGTCATATGTTAGAATGAAATGAAAAACTATGGACAAAATTCAAAGCATCACGCGTGGAAAGACAAACAACGTCTCTATAAGAAGTCAGATTAGCAAAAGACTGAAAGCTACGCTTTTCAGCTTCACAGAGTCACGTTTAATTTGTATCTAGCAAATGCCACTGGTTTACATAGATTTCAAATGTCAGTCAACAAGTCGCAATCATTCCTTAAAGCACATACTCGCAATCTACCATAAGCTACAATCGGACCGGTGTAGTGGCAACAATACTTTGTATCATAAGTCGTCTTTAAAGCTGAATGAATATCAACAATGAACTGGAGATCCCAGAACTCTACCATAAATATTAGCCCTTCCATAATGTCAACTTAATCCGGATTCAGTTTTAGGAGAGGCGGATCCAGGGTAGAATTTTTGTGGGGAACTATATAATATTTTGCTTGCAAGTATTTTTCTTCGCGGAGTGTCACTGATGATGTACTCTCCGCAGTTCCAAACAAATCTATTTAGAAAGGCCGTAAACGAACGACCCTCAAACGACATGACATCTGCAATGGTAGTTACTGGACTTAGTTCACGAAAAAGAGAGTAAACTCTAAACTGAGCTGAGCTCTAAAAATCCGGACTGGATGAGTTCGCAGTCAGTACAAGTAAGGAGATATTACACGATTGTTCCTAAGCGGATTTTTTCAACGACTTCGCTACGATCTTATAAAGCAACTACAGTAATTCGAACTACAATAAAAGATCTTTCAATATTTCTTCACGACCTAACGGTAAAGTACACAATATATTTGCGTAAAGCCGAAAGACGAAGAGGCTATATGTTTAGAGCAATGTATTCTGTTATATAAAGTTCCGTGGGTGTTTCGAATTTTTTTGAAGTACAACATAACGTTGCACTTTGATCTGCAGTGCGTAAATACCTCCAAGTACTTACCGATCAGCGCTGCACAGCAAATGTCCGTTATTGCCAGCGATTATTTTCGTCGACTGTTTATGGGCGCGCGGTTTTGGTGGATACCACTTCGGCAACTCCCAATTGCATAGACGTTTCGCGCCGTAAGCCTTCTCGAACTAGCAAATAAAGAAAACAACAAAAATGAGTGAAAAACCCCGACGGCGCTGGCACAACCACTAGTCATTCATATTTCGCGACATATTGCTACAAATCCAACACAACCTGTTCCCCTGCCTGACGGACTATATATCATAGCCAACTTTGATACGTTAATTTATATCATTTTAAGCCTTTAAATCTTTAAATACCAACGCATACAAATTATAGACACTCATACATACATATGTATATATGTAAAAAAAAAAAAACAAAAAATGGGCGTTTTGTTGCAGTTGTCCAAACATCCCTGCGCTAAAAAGCTGTTTATTAATAAAAAAAAGTCACCACACATATACACACGCATGCTACTTCGGCGACACCCTATACTCCAGTCGCTCCGTGACAGCACCACGCCAGAAGCCGAGTGTTGTTGTGCCATCCCTCAATCGGTGTGAGCTGCAATTACATGGTGTCATTTTTGAAATGACATATGTATGCAGCGATTACGAAGAGTATTGCTCCTAATACCGTTATAATCCTTGTTTACTTTTTGAAAACCAGCAGCAAAAACCCGGGCGATTTCATTAACATTTGTAAACATTTTTTAGCAAGTGGAAGAGCCAACAACTACCGTTAAGCGGCTGAGTAATTTATTATAACTAAATCCAATTGGAAAACGTACAACCTTTGGCGAGTGAAATTCGGAAACGTTGTCAGAGAGATTGCTGCTCGCAGGATCAGCGTGATTTTTTGTGTCTTTTATGAAGAGAGAATGTTTTAAATTTGATCAGATATTTGCGCTGAGCAACCAGCAGTAAAAAAATGTAAAAACAGAGTCCAAATCCAACGGGCAAACAGTCTATTTAAACTTGTGATACACTAAAAAATTTCTTTTAAATATTGTCTACTCTCACTTTTTGGATAGATGACAACAATATTCTAAAATATCGACTGATCAAATTTGACCCGGACTGGTCCATTGAAATTCCGTGCGTAAACCCAATTGATACACACTCTTTTCTAGATTAATACAATATTTTTTTAACGTTAGTGTGAAGTTTGATCTCTGTGGTATATCTGTGTGGTCTGTTTGTTGACGAAAAGTTCGTCTGGTGATTTTTACAATGGAAAAAAGTTTTCTAGTTTATAAATCTGCTTGAAGTTTTGTATTTCCACCGAAAATACAGCTAAGAACCCGCTACCTTACCACTAATAAAGGTATTTGAGTGCCACAAAACATTCAGTGAAGGTCGGGAAGGCATCGAAAACTTGTCTCATGCAAGTCGTCCATCCACTGCTGTTATGATGAGATCAAAAGATTTACAGAAAGAGTGCTTGAAAGAGATAACAGAGGATCTCAACAGTTCTTATGTACAGATTTAACACAATTTGGTTAATGACGGCTGTCAAGAGACCTGAATATTTTAAAAAAATGTAGAGGTCGTCAAGTTGAGGTCGCAAAAGAGATGCTTGACAATGTAGCTAAGGACTCCACACTCGCCAAACGCATCATTATTCGTGAAAATACGAGCCATCTAACGATTGGCTGTGCAAAAATGAGACGAAACTGAGAAAACCAAGAAGCGATAGATTTTGGAAACGTCGCTGAAGATCGAGGGAAACACGGCAAAATGATGGCTTTGCCGCCCACCGTTCGCCGAACCGTGAGAAAACCAGCGTCAACATAACATAACCTTAAGTTGACAAATTTTTGACGATTCACTACTGATTACATGCAAACATACGCACTGAGACTTATGCCGTTATGCCAGCGGTGGCGACCAATGGCACTTGTCAACACCAGCAATGATTGAAGACCAACACAGCGCACGCCACGCATGCCGCGAAAGATGTGTTGAGCGGCAAATGGAGTAAATGGCATGAAACCACAAGCAACGGCACGTGCGGACGCAAATGCGAGCGGAACCATTGCTACAAACACACTGCACACACACTGTGTTATTGTAATTAAATTTACACGGCAATTACACATCGACTTATAGGAAGAGTATGTATCAAAGCAACAACAACAACAGCATGTCAAGCGGTTTAAAGATATTGTTGTGAAATTGTTGTAATGCTTTAAGCTGCGTAAAATTACCAAAAGCAGCGTTGCTGTTGTAATTGTTTGCTCCTCTTACCGAAGTAAATCGATTGTATTTTGTTAGAAGTGTCATTGGTTCAAGTGTGAAATACAAATTGATTTTAAACTCAATTAGCAAATGCAAGAATAGGAATTTATGCTCTAACGGTAGTATATGTAGTTTTATAGCAGACAAAAGATTGCTACAGCAACGAGCTGATTTTTTGCAATATTCACAAGTGAGGTGAAATAACGGTGCAATGTGAAAGTACACAGTGGCGCAAAATGAGCAAAAGAGGGACAAAACTTAACAGAGAAACAACTTCAGGGATATTTGTGAGGCAATTTCAGCAACTAATTCGGGACAATTAAAATTAAATATTTTCGAAGCCATTAAGTTTCCATAAATAGTGGTGTAATCTAAATAGAGTGCTGACTTTTGCCATAAAACTATATTATTTCGTGTGAAAAATGTTTACTTGACATATCAGCTGTTTTGAATAAGAGTTAAAATAAGGTAACGGCTGTCAAAAATGTTAATAAACGATTTCATAACGAATGTAATGTAGCGTTTACACCATTGCTAACGACTAATTGAGCTTCTACTACTAATTTCACACTGCGACAAAATATTTTTCGATAAATGAGAGGTTCTACATGTTTAAGAATCATCTCTGAATACTTTTTAAGTATTTGCTAGAGCCTCTTTAACAAAAAATTTACACAACTAAACCCTATTGGAGATTGCTGTCTAATTTCTTTTAGTTAATGTAATCGGTTCCTAAAACTTTAAAGAAATTTTTCTCGAAATGCTGTTTTCAGAGTCGGTGAGGAAAATCTCTTCGAACGGCTGAACTGTTCCTACTTAATATTTTCATACAATCTTCTAAGTTAAACATATTTGTCAGAAAATGATCGAAGGAATCAAATTTTTGTTAAAACCACTTTATGAGAAAGCCGCCAAATTTTTAGAAATGAAAATATTGACTAGTCCTTTGATTATTACCTATATCTATTATAATCATAATTTTTTGTGTTCTTTGGATTTGAGAAAATGGGCTCTATCAAGAATATTTCTTTTTCTAAAAACTGTAAAAGTACTCTCTGAGACTACTATCTTGAAAGTTTATACTTTTGTAAAAAAAAAAAATTGTGTTCTCACTTCAAACCACTGTGCAAATGCCAACAACCTAACCCACCAGCAGATGATTTTTATACGCATACCCGAGGGTGTCATTTATCACGTTTTATGCGTGGATTATGTAGTCAAGAAGCTACACGCTGTCTGCTTGTATTGTAGGCAAGTTGCAACAATGTCCACACAAGGCAACAACGATGAAGGGTGTCACACCCCTTGACAGCATCATTACACCCCAAACAAGAATTAAAAAATTGCATAAGAGCATAAAAGGCTAACAGGCGGTTGAAGGGTGCACGTGTGGCGGAAGAGTGGGGGGTAAAGTAACTAGAACACAAACAAACAAACTCGAACACATGCATAAACGTTTGAAGAAAGCAAATACTAAACTAGCGTAGTAGTTACAGGTTCACCGGCTACTTTAACTAATTTCACGGCAATCTGCACTGCCGCTCATTTTCGGTCTTCATACGCTATTTTTTTAACAATAACGGAAAACATATACACGCACTTAAACTTTCATTGCACTATCGGCGATCAATATGAAAACAAAACAGATGTCCAATCAATTGTAAGTAACTTAGTATAATGTCGAATCAATTAATTGCCGCCACTATCGGCATCGTCCTCAACACTATCACTTTCGTATTATCGGCTCCCCAGTGGTATACCGTTAACTTATAAACGCCTCAATTCGCACTGAATTGTAGCACAAGCTGCAGTAAGTCGGGAAGTCTGCTTAGCGCTGTGCGAAATTTGTGGAGTTTCTTTTGTGTCATTCAACTGAAAGAATTTGACATGATAGTACATGCACGCAGGTAGGTGTATACATGTCTGTGCATGTGAGTACATACTATGCAAGGGAGCAGAAATACTATTTATAACTATTTATATTAAAACTTTGTCGTTGTTAAGCAAAATCGTTACTATGTACAAATATTAATTATTATTTTTTTGTGGAGCAACAAACCGCAATAAATGTAAACGCGAAACAGGGAGCATAAACAATTTATTTGGTAAAAAATGTATACAAAAAAGATTAAATATACTACTTTTAAGCCAAAAAATTAAAAAA